AAAAACCCTAACTCAAAGTGGAGAATTTCTACCTTTCAATTGGGGAATCTTAGGGGCTCCATGGATGAAAAACATCATACCTTGATATCAAAGCCCACAAATGCTTGAGGAATGAAGACATGACCTTGATCCTAGCTTGAACTCTTTCTTCTTCTTCAAGTTCTAGAGAGAGAAATAATGACTTGAATGGGTGAGATTTGGGGTTTAAATCACTTATGTAGGGGTCCTAGGCTTGGGTAAAATGACATAGTATTTATTCACTTAAAATCGAAAAAAACCCAAAAACCCCTGAAAATCCTGCCGAACCACCACCACGAGCCGTGGTGGCCTTCACGAACCATGGTGGCAACCATGGTCCCTTGACTAGTGGCTTGGCTTGCCACCACTCAACCCCTAAAACCCAACTCTTTTACACAACCTCTCCCACGACCCGTAGTGGCCGTCACAAGCCATCAAGTGGCTCATGAAGAGGGTCTCAATTTGGGCAGCCTTAAAGAGCTCATTGCCTCACCTTCACGGGCACCATCATGAGCCGTCAAGGTGCTCGTGGGAGGTGAGCCTCCCTTGGCTAGCTACTGCCTAAGGTCTCCATGACTCATGGTGCCCTTCTCGATCCGTGTGGCCTTATGGAGGGTGCCAAGGCTCAAATTCTAGGTTGTGACCTTTCCCTTGGACCCCTACTTAGCTACTAGGTTCCGAGGTGTTACAAAATAACAAAATATATTGATTTCTTCAGCCCAAAATCCTTGCTAACACATGAGTGTGAAAACATATGTTGTACCATGTCATAAAGTGTTCTATTCATATGTTTTGCAATACCATTTTATTGTAGTGTTCCACTATGCCCTCCATGTTGCAAAATTTATTGAACTCTAAGTTGTAAAATTTCAATCCATTGTCAGTTCGAAGACGTTTAACTTTTCTTTCAATTTGCCTCTCAACATCGTCTTTCATTTAACAAATGTTAAAAATGCCTTATCTTTTATTTTTTTTAAAATACACCTAAACCATTTTTGAGTAATTGTCAATCAAAGTCATAAAGTACCTTGCACCACTTTTGAAGGAAATTGTTTGGACCGCACAAGTTTGAATGTATATAATCTAATTTATCTTTGATTTTATGAATAACCTTCTTGCTAAACTTCACCCTTGTTTCCTTACCAAACACACAATGCTCACAAAGATTTAAAACTTAATTTTTACAACCATCCAACAAATTCTTCTTGTTCAATAAAGACAATCCTTTGTCACTCATATGACCAAGTCACAAGTGCCACAATTGAGACTGATTCAGACCACTCTTCCCAGAAGCTATAATTGCTTCCCTTTTAACTACACTGGCTTGTAGATAATACAGTCTAAAATGAAGCTTATACTTCGTGAGTATCATGGAGCCTTTACATACTTTAAGTGTTCCATTCTTTGTGTGAAACTTACACCCTTGATCATTCAAAATTGAAAGAGAAATCAAATTTCTCTTTATTCGAAGAACATGCCAACACTCAATAGTTCTGGTAATGTCATAAAAAATTCTCAATTTGATATTACCAATCTTCTAATGAATTATCATCACATAGGTAGACAGTCTCACTCGTCTGTTTGTAAGTTGCAAACAAATTCTTATGTGGACACATGTGAAAAGTTGTGTTAGAATCAAGAACTCAAAAATTGTGTCTATGATCAAAACTCATAGCACAAACTTTCCCTACATAGGCATTGTCATTAATTATTTCCAATGTCAACAATATTTGCTGAGTAATCAACTTTTTGCTTTCCTCTTTTCTCCTTTAGTTTAGGACAATCTCTTTTAATTCCCCTACTCCCTGCACTCTTAAAACTTCTGCTTCCTTGCTCTAGACTTCGATCTGACGTTGAACCTTTTTCTATTAAAGTCCTTAAATTGTGTTCTTCCCTTAATCACAAGAACTTCACCCTCAGCTCCACTATCCGAAAAGCTCTTCTTCAACTCTTTAGATCTTAATGCATTACTAACATCATCAAGTGAGATACTATCTTTCTCATATAGAAATGTATCAACAAAAGTATCATAAGACGGTGGTAAAGAACACAACACGATTAAGACCTGATCTTCACTTTCAATTTTGATATCTACATTCTTCAAGTTCATTATAATTGAATTAAACTCATAAAGGTGATTTTTGACTGGTGCACCTTCATTCATACAAAGACTTTATAACCTCTTTTTCAAGTAGAGGCGGTTTGTCAACGGTTTCTTAGAGTACAAATATTCTAACTTCTTCCATGTTGTTGCTGCAAATTTCTCTTAAGAAATTTCCTGAAGAACGTTATCCGGAATGCTCATGAATATCACACTCAAAGTCCTCTTCTTTAGGCATGCTTAATTTGATTCTTTCAACTCTTTTAAAATATCCTCCTCAATTTCCTTTCATAATTCTTGTAACACCAAAGACAATCTCATTTTAATCTTTTATAGACTGAAATTAAACCCTTCATCGAACTTATCTATTTCATACTTTGTTGAAGATGATGGAGACATCTTAACCCTTGATAATGTTTAGAAACCCTAACTATGCTCTGATACCAATTGTTGAAGAAATATCACATATTAACTAGCACACAATCACAAACAAAGAAAATAGAGAAGATTAAAACCACAAGGATTTAATGAGGTTCGTCTAGGTCTACTGCTCCCAGCAAAAGCAAAGAGAGTTTTTCACTATGAAAGAAAGAAAGCAAGTTTAACAATGCTTTAGAATCCCCAACTACATACCATATATATACATTCCAAGTATTCTCAAATAAGGGTGTGCATGGTATGGTACGGTACAATATTTTGAAGTTTCGATACCGTAATTTGGATATTAGGTTCTTAAAACATTATACCATTAGCATACCGATTTAATTCAGTATGGTTCGATATTTTGAAGTTCGGTTTCGGTATTCTACGGTGTGGTAAATCAGTAACCATAGTTTGTTCAACTTTGACTAATATATACTCGCATAATAAAGTATTATGACTTCGACAATTAAAGAAATGTCTCAATTGTACCATTCCACGTGTAGAAATATACATTCAAAATAAAGTACAAACAACTCATTTTGTTAATCAATTAAATTTCAATCAAAATAGAGTAGTAAAAGTTTCAACTTCTAAACATTTAGTTTATACTAATACTAGGTTGCATATTTCTTAGTATATATATATATATATATATATATATATATATATACACACACACACACACATGTTATTTATGTAACTATATACTTCGGTATGATATTCGGTATTTCGGTATATTATTTCTAAATACCAATTACCATACCGAATACCAAAAAAAATTACAATGTATACCATATACCATAATATCGAAACCACGGTATTGAAAAATTTGCTATGGAATGGTAATTCGGTATATACCATACCATGCCCACCCCTAGTCTCAAACCTACAAGGAAAAGGTTTTTCCAATCCTAAAAGGTCAATATTTTCGTTTTTCAAATCTATTAGGACAAAGGGTCTCCTAAGCTAATAAGAACTATAGTTTCCTAAAATATACAAGGGAAAAATTCAAGACATAATTAAGGGATAAGGCACAAGTACAGATTATGACCGAAATCTCAGAGACACACCTTAACTAAACTAAGGTCTTATTACCCCCTCGAACTCGTTTTTTTTTTATATAAATTTTGTACACCTTTTGGCTTACGTGGCACACTCTATGACTTCACGTAGTTGAGGCGCATGAAAGATGTTCGGATGCCACGTAAACTAAAATTACGTAGAATGTATTAAAATGATGTTTAATCTTATGATCTTAAACATGTCATATCGAAAATAATTTGAATTAAAAAGTTGTTAAAAAGAAAAGAAACATACTTTTTGAAACAGACTAAAAAAGTAAGGTCTAACTCATCGGTGGCCCCTTAAAGTTGGTATGAAGTTTCAGTTAGACACCTTAACTGAGCAATGTTCATCTTAGACACCTCATGTAGGGTACCGTTGTATCATTTTGACGCTCTATTTTCAATCAATAAAAATATATGAGGTGTGTGTTACTTTCGCGAATGACGTGTAAAGTGACAAACTACACGATGACGTTTGTCATTTGTGTCAAAAACAATTCTTAAACAATAAATTTTGAGTAAAACTAAAAAGTAACCAATGAATATACGAATTTTTGCCCAAATAATAAAAAATAATTTAAATCAACAAAATCCCCAGGACCCCCACCCCCACAGTCCCCTGTCCATTTAAAGAAATACCCCATCCGCGCGTACCTATCCATGCTCCTTTATTAGTGTTTTCTTCAACTATCTTTTTATTTCCTTTTTATCCCTAATTAGTAGGTTTAGAATTCACAAACAATTAAATTTACTCATATGTAAATATTAAATTCTTTTAAGAAAGAATCTCATGAATTAAATTAATAAGTAAATCTTGAAATGAGTCTATCCCTAAATTTCTTAAACAATTTCCAACATTTTTCATCAGTTTACAGTAACTAATTGTATTCACCATTGGATGTTTAAGTTTCAAAAATGGTGGCTGAAAATGGGAAAGAAGAAGAAGAAAAAATTTAAAAGTCAACAAAATAGGTTTTTCACGCACGGTCAATGAGTGTATTACATTCACTAAGTCATGTAAGCAAAAAGTGTCAAAATGACATAACGGTACCCTACACGAGGTGTCTAATATGAACATTGTGCAGTTAAGGTGTCTAAGTAAAATTTTGTGCCAACTTTAAGGGGTTAAGACAAAAAGTAATAATATAAACAAATTGAAAGAAAGAATAGTGTTGAATATGCTTGAACAACGGTCAATTATTAATCCCCATGTCATAATTAGTTGTAAATGGTAATTAATTATATACTACAGCAAATCTATATCATCATAGTGCATGTAGGATGTAACAGAGACAACAGAATAATTCAATCTAACAGAGACAGAGAATACAAACTTGAATCGTTAATGATAGAATACGATTGCGTTTAAGTTTAGTGCACAGACAATGTATAAGTTATATAGGAATTCCGTTGCAAGGAGATATAGTGGTTACATCCTCCAGATTGTTGAGAGCACATTTACGGCAAATGTGCACATCACATTTTGTGCACTGCAACGCGTTCTCCTTATCCAGTGATTTATTATTACAACCATCACACTCACACCGCGACCCATACTTACCTCTTTCCACCAATTTTAGATGGTGCTTCGCAATCTCAATTGTACCACCAAACTTGATATTGCGATTCTCAGAGAGTCGCGAGATGCAATGAGGATGAAATGATTGATCACACTTCTTACAATGATAGACCCAATGCTTGGGATGTACATACTCTTCGCATAGCTCACATAAGAAATCATCTGGATTTTTAGGAAAAGGGGGATACATGAGGAGAAGTGAATGTTCATCCCAATTGTGGATGATTTTCGGGGGCAATAGAGCACAATCGATCCCTAGGTAGAAGTGACAATCACTACAACAGTATGATGTAGAACCAGAGAGAGATTTGCCACAAGCATTGCAATCAGAATCTATTTTTATGGTATTTGGATTTCGAGTAAGGGGATGCGTATGTGCTTTATGATTAATATAAGTAGGAATGAAGGTACATTTCATATCCAGGAGGAATTGATGAGATTGATCTCTACATTCAAAAGACCAACCATTAGTCTCCGATTGACATTCACTGCATTTCACCACTGAAAAGAAGTACTTGGGATGATTTATGTGAAGTTGATCATCATGACTTGGGTGTTTCGATAACTCGAGACCATTGGGTAATTGGGAACAAGTATCATGAAGAAAATAGCTGCATTGTTGACAACTATAATAGTACTCGTCAACAATGGGCTCAATACAACCATCACAAACTAACTCATCATCCGCTTTTATTTTGGATGAGAGAAGTAATAAATGATGGTCGTTGTGAAAATTTACTATCTGCGATGGTCCTGGAATAGTTAGGAGGCCATTTTGCTTGAGAAATCGGCTAGTGAGTTTCACCGCTGCATTAGCTACCGGCAGCTGGACCATGTTGAACTTGGTGTAATATTCCACGCTTTCTTCAGTAGTCCTGAAAGCCAAGTGAAGGATTTACCTTGTAAGCTAGAAATGGACAATTGACAGAGATCTAGTAAGGACAGGGGAAATTAAACTTACATCTTTTTATCCGCGCATTTGATGTGTACAAAGAATCTACAGGGGAGACAATAATAAACCCAAAAGACATACTGCAATTGTTTGTGGCAAATATCGCAGCAGAGTTTTCTGATTCGATATTCTTCAGGAAGGAAAAACAGAGAGAGGATGTGATCTTTGTGGTTGTAGTGCTTGTATTTTTCGGGTAAAACTTTACATTCATCATGGATCCATAACTGACAATCTTTACATCGGAAAGAGCTATTCTTGATACCACAAACAATGCAAACATGATCTTCCTTGATCTCATAATTTAGATCATGTCTTATATGGTTTTCGTGCTCCTCTTTTTGTTGATCTTGGACTTGGAGAGCACACGATGCTGCATCTGGCGTAGAATTAGACTGGGTTTGAGAACAAGCATGCTTGTAATCTTTGCATCTCATCATATGCTTAACTATTTCCACTTGTTTCTGTTCCATCTTAATCTTCCCACTCCCTTGATTCATCTCCAACTGTCGTTCGTGATCTTTTTCTCTCTGTTTGGGGTGCAGATGGGGAGGAGGATGAAGATGAAAAGTTTCAATGGAAGTTTAGAGGATGGTGTTTTCTGGGAAATGTTTCTCTATTCACAAAAAAGAAAAGAAAAGAGATTAACTTCATTAGAAAACAAGACATGAAATACGTTAAAACTAATGGCGGAGTCCGAATTTTCATTAAGCGATTCAATATATAAAGAAGTAAACATATGAACAAGTCAAGGAATTCAATATCAACTATAAATAGGGAAAATGCATAAGTACCCCCCAGCCTATGCCCGAAATCCCAGAGACACACCTAATCTTTACTAAGGTCCTATTACCCCCGAACTTAATTTATCTATAATATTCTACCCCTTTTCGGCCTACGTGGCACTATCCTTGAAAAAAATGTCAACATGCGTTGGGCCCACAAGATAGTGCCACGTAGGCCAAAAAGGGGTAGAATATTACATATAAAATAAGTTCAGGGGTAATAAGACCTTAGTAAAGATTAGGTGTGTCTCTGAGATTTCGGGTATAGGTTGGAGGGGGGGGGGTACTTATGCATTTTCCCACTATAAATACATCAAAGTTATTTTGACTTTATATATATACACAATGTAATTTTTTTAAAGAAGGGTTCGGATGAAACCCTTGGGTACCCTAACTCCGCCTTGGTCATGGACAAGTTCAAATCACATACACCATCAAGGTTTTGTTTGATAGTTGGTAAGAGTTATGCAAATATTAGTAATGTAGTGATTAGTTACAAGAGAGTTTATATATTATTTTATGTAGATATTAGTTAAGCATGAATTAGTAGGGTCAACTGGTGCAAAGCTAGATTTAGATCAATTGAATAAGACAAAAGTATTGAAAACACTATGAATTATTAGTTTCATCCTCAAACTATTGATAGTCTTAAATACACTCTTCTACTTAACTAAATAAATTGTCATTTAGGGGTGTCACACACGACCTAAAGGAATTTATTAAATCAAAATTTGACTTTTATTTACAATGTAATTTTCCGCTTGATGCCCCTTGGTAAGGGTGGGTCCACCCCCTGGGTATTATGTCCATCTAAAAACGTGGCATATTTTGGAGCAACTGAAGTAGAAGTCATTTTCTAGCAAGCAACAAAGATGAAAAAGTTTCATAAATACAATTTAAGCAAAACGTGAAAAAGATTCCTCTTTGTAAAACATAATTTTTTCTTCCACTTTATAAAGTGTAAGAAAAACTTTCACTTTACAAAGTGTAAAAAATAGTTCCATTTTATAAGGTGTAAAAAATAGTTCTGTTTTATATTAAAATAGACACGTTATGAGAATAACGAAAAACGTTTGAAATATTGGATAAAGTGATTTTTTTTCTTACACTAAGCCTAGTTTAGTTACTTACTATAATAGTGATTTATTTTGGTCACTTTTATCTTTTTATGACTTATTTAGGTTGCGGACTCTCATTAGTATATGAGTAACTTGACTGTTTAAGCTTCTCCTTACACTTCGTGAAACATGTATTTTGAATTCCCATGGACCTAATAATATGCATTTACTATGGGATAATGCATAAGTACACCCCTAGACTATGACCGAAATCTGAGAGACACCTAAACTTAACTAAGATCATATTACCACCTAACTCATTTTATTCGTATTTTTGTGCACCTTTTGTGCTGATGTGGCACCTTCAACCACCCAAGTTGGTTGTGTTTGTACACACTTGCACGCCATGTGTGTAAATATTTTTTAATTAGGAATTATTTTTTAAGAAAAATTAAAAAATATTTTCTCATTTTTTTTAGGGAAAATGCATAAGTACCCCCCCAACCTATGCCCAAAATCCCTGAGACACACCTAACCTTTAATAAGGTCCTATTACCCCCCGAACTTATTTTATATATAATTTTCTACCCTTTTTCGGCCTACATGGCACTATCCTTGAAAAAATTGTCAACACGCGCTGGGCCCACAAGATAGTGCCATGTAGGCCGAAAAGGGGTAGAAAATTATATATAAAATAAGTTCGGGGGGGGGGGGGGTAATAGGACCTTAGTAAAGGTTAGGTGTGTCTCTGAGATTTCAGGCATAGGTTGGGGGGGTACTTATGCATTTTCCCTTTTTTTTTTATCTTATATTTAAATTAAGTTAATACACATTTTTTACCTTGTATCGAAACTATTTTTTTTACTTACATTCATTGTTTTTTCTCTTTTATTTGTCTATTGAGTTTATTTTCTTTGTCTTTCGTTTTGATTGTATTTCAAATGTCTTGTATTTAAAATAAGTTAATTTTGAAGGGATATCAAAATGAGTGAACAAAATCAAATAAAACATTAAAATATTAAAACATTAAAATTAAAGGACACTTATAAATTGTTTTTTTAAAATACACACAATTTATTAAAATAATTAAAAGTGAAAAGATAATAAATTAGATGAAAAAAATTTAAAGTGAAAAGAAATTAAAATAAATATTTTACAAAGAAAGAAACAAAAATAATTATATATATATATATAAGTTTTATTATCAATAAATATGTGTACTAACTAATTATAAAGTTACCAATAAAAAAATGACATGTGTCGAATTTGTGCACTCATCACTTGTCTTCAAGAGAGTGTGCACACTCTCTATGACATGTTAGTGTTTGTAGTGTATTTATTCCATTTTAAATTAGTTTAGAGGGGTAATAGGACTCTAGTTAAGTTTAGGTGCGTCTTTGAAATTTGAGTCATAGTTTAGGGGGTACTTATACATTTACTATTTCTTGAACTTTGTATCACGTCTTTAGTACTTAATTATGCTTATTTAATGTCAATCTTGAATTGCTTCATCTTCCGATCTTTATTGCAATATTAACTTTTGAAATGTCAATGTATATGTAATCAATCAAGAATTTATTTTCCTAATAAAATATACCCAACCTTTTCATTCATTTTCTCTTAATTATGGCCCCCCTCTCACTATATATATAGAGAGGGGGCCAATTGCAATTACAAATAATAATTCACAGTAATTCATGCTAGAAATAGACAAAGAGAAAATAGATTATTTAGTGGGAGCTATCAATTAAAAATTGGTGAACTTTGATAAAGTTGCGAAATTAAATTTTATCCCCTTCCTAAATCTTGTTGGCTAGGGTGGAAATAAAGTTTTGGATAAGCAAGGGTTGGTGGAGCTGGTTTGTAGCGGTTGAAGTGTAGCATTAAGGTGGTTGCGATTGGTAAAGCGTACAACTGCATAAATTCCGAGGTAGTGGATGTAGCTAGTTTGTAGTTGTTAAATAGTAGCATTAAGATGATTCAAGTAATGAGATGACGTTGATTAAGCTTGAATTATTATATTGAATTGTAAAAAGTGTAGTTAATTAAGGTGGAAACCCAGAAAAAGAACAAAGGAGAACTTATGAATAATGAAAGATAAGAACTATAAAGCAATAAAGAACAAGAAAGAAGAGATAACTTTATTTGAAAAATGCAGTCATTTTTTTTTCCACTGCTTAAGACTCAACCTTATAATAAAGAACTAAATTCATGGTCCTAAAAATCAGCAACACATCTGCTGAAGATAAACAAACTCCTAGAGACTAGGTAAAGAAGTTATTTGAGGAAAACTAAAGCTAATTTACTGCGGTAAATAAATAAAAGGCTGCAGTCCTAAAATATAGCAACTAACAACAAGATAGGGAGAAGTATTGATCATTACAGGCCTAAACACAAGCTCAATTTTTTTTCTTTCGGGATGCTCAAAATAAACTAGGCATTTTCTTTTAGTTTGCAGTGGCAAAGCTGTCATCTGTCTTATGGATGATGACCTTGAACAAGTTATTTCCATTTTCTTCTTGTTCATTCTGAATGTTCAGGGCTAACTCTTCAATGGATTGGTTGCACCATTTCACCTCAATCTCCTTTAGTGTTGGAATGTCACCAATACTAAATGGGATCTTCTTTAGTTTCTTACATTTCTGCAACTCCAGTCGCTCAAGGAAGGGCAACGCCTTATCGGAAAAGTGCCATTCCTCCAGGTCTAGTGTATCTAATATCAACAACTTAAGAGTGAGAAACTGAACATCTCGTACCTCCCATAGACTACCCTCAAAGGCTTTAGTCAGTAATTTCAGGACCTCAAGATTGGGAAGTTCCCCAATAATTGATATTTGATCCCATGGCAGACAAAACCGTGATAGGGTCAACTTTCTGAGGTTCGAAGGGAAATTGAACTCACATGTCTTTCGTACTCTACCATAGTAAAACAGCTTGAGAGAGACAAGTTGATGTAGAAAGTCCAGTCTGGGAAACATGTTCTTTTTGGTATAAGTGTCCCATGATTCCAAAATGATGCATTTCAGTTTCTTAAGACTTGCTAACTTTCTAACTATCTCATCCGAATCATCCCCATAACTCAGAAAAGGGGTCGACATTGTTCTCAGATTTGGCAACTTGTCTGAAAATTTTCTTCTGTTGTCAGGGGCGCCAAAAGAAGCACGATCAGTTATATGCAAATGCCTCAAATTTGTCAGACTCCAAATAGCATCAGGTATTGCAATTTCTCCACTTAATCCTATTGTAACAAAAGTTTCCAATTGCTGGAGGCTGCCAATTGAAGACGGGATATCGGTCATTTCTCCTCTGATTGCCAAGTACCTCAACAGAGTCATCTTTTCTAGACCAGCAGGAAAAGTTTTGCCGACATTTATACATGCTAAATCCAAAACTCTAACAAGTTTAAAGTTCTCACAAGCAAACATGGAAAATTTTGAAGTACCGCCATTTAGCACCAGGCTTCGGACAAGTGGTCCAGAAACTCTTGGTGAATTGTGATCGTCCCAAAAAGAAGAAATAAACAGCCGGCGATGCTCGCACTTAAAACCATCCAGGGGAGTTGAGACTCCGCTATAACTTCCCATCAGCTGATAAAAATTTTCGAGTTTGCCTTTAGCTAAACAAAAATCATGTATCAGATGATGGACGTAACATGATTTCTCCCGAGCGCTTGAGCTCTTTCTATCCACCGAAACAAGACATCTATCCATTAGGAGCATTAGGTATTCCATTGCCACATCCTCTAAGCTATTTCCTTCAGTTTGTTGTATAAATCCTTCTGCAATCCACAACCTGATCAACTTGGATGTTGGAATTTCAGCCTCCGGTGGTAATGCTCCAAAATAGAGAAAGCATGGCCTCAGACAATCTGGTAAATACTCGTAACTCACTCCAATAACTCTGGAAGCCTTTTGATTCTTACTATGCTGGAGATTTATAACGCTGGAAGCATTTTGATTCTCACCATGATGGAGTTTTTCCAGCACTTGTTCCCAAAACTTAACTGTTTTCTCTTTAGCAAGCACATGAGCACTCATAACTATGTCAAGAGGTAGGCCATGCATTTCTTCGGCTATTTTCATCGCGACTGTTCTGAGTTGTGGAGGAACATGTTCTTCTTGAAATATCTTCTTTGCCAATAATTCCAAGGCTTTATTTGATGTAAGACATTGAACATGATGTATGAGGAGTTCTCCACGTCCAACATCAATATTCTTAGCCACACTATCTGATCTAGTTGTCAAGAGAATCTTACTTCCATAGTTATCATCAGAAACGGATGCACTCAAACCATGCCATGCTTCAACATCCCATACATCGTCCATCAAAATGAGGAACCTCTTCCGTTTTAGAAGCCTGCCTAGCATTTCAGACAAATCAGAAAAGCTCCTTTTATCAAATGTGTCATTCTGTCCGGTGATATCACGTAAAATCTGAATTAGTAATTGCCGACTCTCATATTTTTGGGATATATGAAGAAATACACGAATATCAAAGTGGCTGATAATGCTGGGATCATTGTAGACTATATTAGCTAGAGTTGTCTTTCCAACTCCACCAATGCCAACAATAGCTATAACACTCAACGCCTTTGATCCTCTAGTCAGCTGCTGTCTCAAATAGTCTATATCATCCTCTAATCCCACGACCAGTTCATTGGCCACATCTGTTGGCTTAGAATCTACTGTCGTTGGTGTGTCTCTGTCTTCCTCTGCACCTAAGTTCTCTGTCTTGGCATCAGAGATTTTCTCTTCTTTAAACCCCTCAACCTCCCTCCTGATTCTCTTCATCTCTCCAGTGATATCAGAAACACAGAGCAAATGGTACCATACAGGTCCATCTCTGACTAATAACGAGTCAATGACATATTCAGCTCGGTGTGCAACAAATAGTATATCAGTTGCAAATGTTTTCAGTGCCTCATTCTTATGGCGCCTCTCTTCATGATTGGTCAGAAAAACACTTAGGGGCTCTAGGTTGTCAAATATTACCTGAACTTGATGCTTCAGGGAAGTGATTGGACCTGCCTGCCTGTCGAGTAGCTCCGTCAGGTTTCTTAAGAGAGATCTGATAAACCCCAGGTCATCTAACCTTGAGACATTAACATCAGGCAGTGTGAACAAAGGAACTTGGACCTCTTCCTTAATCTGCTTTATCTTTTCGACTAAATCATCAACTGCAATTTTTACTTCCACAGGCTGAATGTCATCCACATAAAAGTATGAAAAGATGGCACAACCAACTTTAATAGCCACATCTTCAATACGGGTCAACTGGCCTTTCAATTTCGAAAGTTCAGTATAGTGCCTCAGGGGATTTACATCAAAAGAACTCCAGTTCCCCAGTTTTCCTTGAAGATCTTTAAGTGAAACATTTATCAGGTCGTTCCACTTCCCATTCTCATTGAACCCCATTGGAGGGTCCTTAACATAGGAGCTGAGGAACGTGAGATCCTCACAGAGAGCTTCGATATCGGCCTTCAACGAAGCCATCCATTTTGGCGGGTTTCTTAGTACCTCTTTCACATGATCTTGGAGAGTCTGTATGAAGCTTGCTAGATCCACATCTGAAATTTGAGTCTCAGTTGCTAGCGGCTTCAATGCTTGGACAACACCCACATAAACCTCTCTGATCTCCGGTTTGTCAGGCCTGATTTTTCGCTGTAGTTGAGCAAGCTTGATCATGTCCGAAGAACACATGAAAGAAAAACATGCAGCTTCAAGAGCTACCTCTTCAGCATGAGTAAAGAGATGTTTGAGCTTCTCATGCTCGGTACATCGTGTAGCTGCAAATTTGAGAAAGTTTCTCAAAAACCTTAGCTTAGTTTCAAGTTCTCTGAGTTCTTTCCCTGCAGGAAGAGAGGATTGACTCTGATAGCTGATCAGATTCTCAACAAGAGAGTCGATAAATTCTATCACCAGCATAGGAGCAGTAGACTCAGAGACTGCATCAATGATCTTTGGCTTGAGAGTTGCTATTTCCTTTTTTATTATTGGAGCCAAATTATTCACATCTTTGGCTATGTCTTCGATCTGTTTGGAACGAATGGATTGTAGGCGTCTGCCTGCATTTCTGGACACCTTTTCAATCTCTTTTAAGAGATCTTCCAAGTTGCTGTAATCCAGGCAGCTGAGAAAAGTTCTCAGGAATTCCAGCTCCAGTTTAAGCTCCTGGAGATGGGATTTCGTCGACAAAGTCAGGCCACTGGTGCTCTGGAGGCGGACCAGATGATTCAAGGCGTCATCAACAGAGGTGTATTCCATCACAGATCTCTCAATGAATTCGTTAACACTACGCTTTCTCTCTCTCTTACTTTAGTTAATTCTCTCTCTAAATGTTGGATAGATAAAAAATTGGGTTTATTAGCTATAGTGGTCCAACTCTAATACATTTTTTTAACCAAATGAGCAAATCATAGTTCATAAACAAATATTTTAATTAATAAAGGGAAAAGATTCAAATATGCAATAAATTTTTTTTAAAAAAGCTTTATTCATGTCATTATCTTTTAATTCCGGTTTTGCAAAATCATTTTTTACCTCAACAAGACCCCAAACAACTTTTAACACTTTTCCATTGGGATTTTAGATCAACTGTACTCTTCTTGCTTATTCATCCTCAAGAACACATGAAGCATTGAAGAGTACAGATGATCCAAAACCCCAATTGAAAAGTATTAAAAGTTGTTTGTGGTCTTGTTGAGGAAAAAAATGGTTTTGCAAAATCGGAGTAAAAGAATAATGGCATGGATGAGCATTTTCTCAAACAAGAATGAAGCGATATTTTTAACAGATGACATAAATGAGCTTTTGTCAAAGTTTGATGGCATATTTTAAACTTTTTCCAATTAATAAATCACATATCTCCATATTCCTTTCTAAAAAATGTCATTACAAACTTCCAAATACACATGTTACTGGAGAACCCAACAAGAGAAAATTGGAAAACATTCTCCGCCTTCATACCAAACACACCCTAGATCTAACCTACCCGGACAAAACAATTATGGCCAGTGACTTGTGAGGAGGAATTTAGTAAAAAGAAAACAAAGAGCAAAAGCAAGAGAAGTTAGTACATATCCCAATTCCCAGTGACTAAGAAATGAGTCAAAATGCCAGCATCGAAGATACCTTGAAGCGTTTGGATTGGCTAGAAGATTACAGTGAATTGAATGCTAATGCCAAGGATCAAATCAGAACTCTTAGAATGCACCTAAGATTTCTGAAGATGTTTCTTGTATCAGTAGCAAAGTTGTCGGCCGAGGACATGAATGACTTCATGAGTCGTGTCCAGAAATCGGTCCAAAATGTTAGAGATGGACTTTGTGATGAAAATAGAGCCGTCAATTTGGAGAAACTGATTTCTGGTTTGGTTCAGGAAATCAAGGAACTCATACCGGATATCACAAAATATTACATCGATCTTTCGCAGTTGGAGACTACGATGAGCAATGGATGTCGGGTGGAACTTGTCAACTCTCTGTTAAAGAATCTGATGGATCTGATAAAATACAAGACTGGTCTGACTGTCGTTTCCCTACAACAAATTGAGGCACTTGAGGTGAAGTTTCGGTTTCTGAGAAATTTTGTTTGGTTCAGCTCCATAAACTGCATCAACCATCCGAATATACAAGATCTATTAGCACTAATTGAAGTAGTGTCTAGCACTGTGGCATGTCTATCATTTCAGTGCCTTTTTGAGGATGAAATCGACGAGGATATGGAGAAAAAGATGAAAGCAAAGTTCTCTCAGGTACTGTGGACAATTGAGCTGATTCGGCCAGGGATGAGAGATGCATATATCAACAGCCTCAAGGATCTACCATCGCGACTGGATAGCAATAGTACCATGGTAAATGAAGTTGTCATGGGATTTCTCCGCTCTTTCCTCGATGATGTGGAGGAGCTCCTAAGGTACAAATCAATTCTGAACGCTTCTGCAGAAATTCAATTGCAAAACCTTAGGGAAGAGTTGAAATTTCTGATAGCTTTACTGATGGATCATGCCATGCAAGACGATATCTTGGCACACACAGAAGCTGTGGCCAGAAAGACTGCTCCTGTGATCCACTTGCTTCTGGTTAGCACAAAGGATGACGGTGCTATCAACGAAGTCGTTCTGTACGAATTACATGACCTGTTGAATGAAATCAATCTTGTGAAGAAAGAGATGAGGAAGGCGTGCCCTGATCCCTCGGAATCAATGAGATCAAACTTCCCGATGAAGAAAAATGCATCGGTCCTAATTGATTTTGTTTTAAGAGCTCTCACAGAGATTCTTAGCTACAAGACAGAGTCAATTGCTTTAGTTAGGCATCAAGTCAAAATAGCAGAGGCTGAATTAGTGTGCCTGAAAATTTTACTTGACGACAAACTTCTTGAGCTGGAGGCCAATGAAGAAGAGGATCTCCAAATGGCGGTCACTGATGTAGTGCACGAGGCAAAACATGCTATCGGCTCATTTATCATACGGGAACGCCCTCTTTGGTATTGTATGTTACAACTGTCTGATGCCATAAAGAAGATTCGGAGTGTTAATCATAAGCTGTCTGCTCCTTTCGGCGAGACTGTTGAGATTGGGGTGGATGCTGATGCACAGAGTTCGGATTCATTGTCATCAGTATCTACAATTCAAGTGTACAAAATGGAAGTGACCGGTGAGGACAGGAATACTGAGGCTGAAGAACTCAAAAGGAGGCTTAATACAGGATCCGCTCGACTAGCTGTTATCTCAGTTGTTGTGACGTCAAAGCAAAATGTCACCTTTGTTAGAGAAGAAGTCTTCTATGATCGCACCACTGTTGGTCATTTTCAAGTTTGCGCATGGATTAATGTTCGACAAGAAGATGATAAACGAGCACTGCTGATTGACATTTTGATCCGTATTGTCAAAGATGCTGAGTTTGCTCGATCAGTTAATCAGCTAAGTGAGAAAGAGGCTGCAAAAGAAATGGACAAATGTTTGCAGAAAGTCAGGTACCTTATTGTGTTGGATAATACGTTGTCCACGGGGACATGGGATACCATAAGTGGCTGTTTTCAAAATAACAACAATGGAAGTAGGATTCTTTTTATCAGTTTCTAGTTCTACAACACAAAACTCATAGGCCTTGACATCAGCCTAGATTTCATTGGCTGAACAGCAGGGTTGGAAATGCAAGATCAATTAAATGCAGAACAGTACTGACATGAATTTTCAGATATTCTTGGTTTCTACATGTTTGTAATTTTGAATTAATGTGTACCGTCTTACTATTTGCAGATTCAGAAAATCAATTGATCAATGGCCCCATCAAAAACATCTCAGGATCCTCTGTGGTTTGAAAAAGTTTACGACAGATTTACATGTTCCAATCCAAGTTTTTTTTTAAATCATTGTTTATCTTAGTACAGAGACCTCTTATGTGTTATTTCTCTGTGACAAGTACGTCTTTTATTGTTAGTATTACAAAATGTCTCTCTTATTATGAAACTCAATTAATCAAAATCCTGAGAGTTTCTCTAAAAGGTCTTAATTTCTTCAGCTTCACTGTCATCCAAGTCTTGTTCTTCAAAGTCAAGACTATTACTATCACTTACTACTTTATTCCTCAACTTCAGCTGTCTGAAGAAACCTTACCTCCTATTCAAGAACCAGGTTCTTGTTAGTTTGCCTACATAAAGACGCAACACAATAAAACAGATTTTATCGTGGAAACCTTCCTCCCTCAAGGAAAGTAAAAACCACACTACAATTTTATTAACTTGAAGAACAACTCAAGATTACAACTCAATAATTAAAGGAACTAGCTCTAGTACCTCTACTCTCCAACGATTAACTATAATCGAAGACTCTACTCTCCAAGAAGCCAAACCCACTTCTTGTCACAATTCTCTCAAACTCTACTCTCCAAGAAGTCAAACCCGATTCTTGTTACAATTCTCTCAAACTCTCCTTCTCACTTAGAACACAACACCTAACCACTGATTCAAAAAATGAATCAATGTAATACTATACTTCAGAAAGAAATCCCAACTCTAGTACTTCTTTCTTTCACTTTCTTGATCTCCTTAATGATTTGACCCTCGCTGGAATAAATGTCTCTATATTGATATTGCAAAGACATTTTTCTTTCTCTTTGGCGTTGTCTTTATATAGAGGTTAATTAGACCTTAGTCAACTTCTATAAGGAAAGGAATTAGTTTTTCCTAGAAAAATAATCTTGGCTTGCTTGTCTCATTCCTCTTCCGCATAGGTTCGTCTGCCTTTATTCTTTTCCATATTTGACTTGGTTTGCTGTTGTAAACATGTTTCTCCTAATTCATATGTGTTTGTGATAACTTTTCCCGCTATTTTATTGTAGGCTTATGAACCTGTTTCATGTTGTCATCATCAATTTGTGAACCTGGTTCATGTTGTCATCATCAAAAGTTATTTAGCTTTGTGAAGTCATCACTCATTTATACTGCCATTTCTTTATTAGCATTATTATTATTATTTTTACCAACCAGTGCCAGCTGCAAGGCCCCCTTCCTACACTAATCATCACATGTTTCAGAAACAACCTAAATAATGACCCAGACCTCAAGTTTTTAAACAAAATTATATACTGAATTTTGACAGATCAAAATGGCTGAAATCAATAAACGAGTCATTCTCCAGCAACCGTGCCCAAGGGCCAGCAGAAGTTACACTATTGTGATCATTTTGTTAACAAGTTGATATTATTGTGAACACAAAACCAAGTTGTGCTACTTTGATACAAAAAAAATCTATTTCCATTGGAATAACATTGATGGAGAAGGAAATGCATCATTCATTTCAAAAACAAAAATATATGCAATGGTAAAGAAACACACAAGCAACAGACACATTTTTATGAGAGAACTAATATTACAACATTAACTCTTGTCCTTCCAAACTCCATGGGCATTGCAGGGGAACATAGTGAGCTTTGGGCATTTCACTTTCTCCAGACATTCCACCTTCGGGAACAATTCTCGAAATTCTGTCCAGTCCATCTCCATTTCTGTCAAGTACTTGAGACGTAGTGTTTCCACGTTATTCCAAGGTTCTGGATCAGTTCCAAACTCGAATTGACCCAAATCGCGAAGTTCCCCTCCTCTAATGTACAGTTCACTCAGCTTTGGCAAATTGTCAGGTTTTAACCAAGTGGCAGCACTTCTCCTAGGATAACATTTCAGGTCCAACTTCTCCAATTTTGGAAGAAAACCAGTTGGATGTGAGACATTCTCATCCGCTTTTTTCCCAGTAGGCAATTTTCTTGCAATTCCCTCAGGTTTAGGAACGTTGGACGCAGTACTGGGGTCTGGATTCCGTAACAAATTTCCTCCCCATTCTATAGTTAGGATGCGGAGTTGTTTGAATTTCTTAAGCACGGACAACTCACTCCGTCTGGGGAAATCCACGATTTCCGTATGAATACTTAATTTACTTAAGTTTTTCATGGCCGACAAATCATCCAGAGTGCATGAGTGTAATTTGTCTGTTGAATCTTGAACTTCAAATCCCTTGAGCACCACAAGATTTGTTAGCGCCCCGAGACCTTTTGGCATGCTACTGAGTAAGTAACACTCCGATAAGTCCAAGTGTGTCAAATTATGAAGTGAACCAATGCCCCGCGGGATCACCTCAAGACTGTGGCAAGCTCTGAGATCTAAGACATTAAGGTTCCAGAGCTTTGAAATTGACTCAGGGATCTCTGTTATCCCTGAAATTCCTTGCAAGCTCAAGAATTTAACATACTTTATATTAGCTAGGCCTTCTAAATCTTTAGGTTCCTCCACCTCAATATGCTTCTTGCTTGTGCTATCCCACCCTCCCAAGTAAAGAATGCTCACATGCTTCATCTCGGTAAACCATTCGCGTTTAAGCCTTAGAAAGGCTTCATTCAAATTAAACACCACATGAGCCATGGGTTTATATGACGAGGTTGTTTGCGAATTGGAATTGTTCTTGCCATTGGACTCCTCATTCTCCAACTTGTTGTCTTTCCGAGGAACGAGACAAGATCTTAGAGAACGAGTATGCTCTCTGATAGGGTCGCCTTTGTCATCAAAATCAATGAAATTTTCACTCTCAGCCAGCATGGTTACTGCAGCATGAGCCAAAGGTTGTAACTTGCAGCTATGAGCTTTTTTCTTAAAAGGGCACTTATCGTAAACTGGATGGATGAAGTTTCTTAAAATGAGTTGATTCAAGACACTCTCCGTTTCAGCCTTTGCGTTTACATCAGATGGAATGAATCCCTCACCAATCCACCAGTACATCACGATCCGTTTCTTGATTGTTGCATCCTTGGGAAACAGAGCAAAACAGAGTAGGCATTGTTTGTGTTGACTATCAAGGAGATTGAAACTTTCCTTGAATTCTTTGAATATCACATTGTTCTTAAACAGATCTTTCTTATAGAAAGAATGAACTCCAGCTAGATGCTTGTTCTTTTCGCGATTGGGGAGAATCTCTTTCTTTTTTGCATCTCTATCTGTTGGCTCCGAGTACCTAACTTTCACCTTTGAGGGTATCTCTGTTTTCAACCTCATAACCACCTTCTCGACCTTGGAAATTTCTTGATATTTAAGCATCTCCTTGGCACGCTCCTGTTGTTTCACGACCTCAGCTTTGTATTTTCTGAGATTATCGTAGGCCTCGTCAATGAATTGAATATCATCCTCCATCAATTCATGCAATTTCTTTGCTTTCATTTCATGATCAGTCGTAGTTTGCTGGTTTCCAACCTCCTGTTGGGGCGCGGAAGTTGCTCGGGGGAGATGTTCTTCCTCTTCCCTTTGTATTTCAGTGGTGTGGGATGAAACATGGTTGATTGCAGTTGCCATTGTCGATCAAACAAACAGAGATATGAACAACTTTTATTTAAAAGAAAATTATAAAGATAGCAATCAAAGAAATTCAGATCAACATATATTTGAATCAATGTCCTAAATATTCAGATCATATAAAACTCTTTTTTAGGAGTTGGTGTTGTCCTTATCCATTTCACTAGCTCATTAAAGATGTCTAAACACACCTTCAAGACCATTAAGCTATAACAATCTATTATGTTAAGGGTATCCAAAATATGTTATTTAATCATTTCGCATATCATTTTACTTGTATATGAAGTATTTTTTTCCGACGAAGGGTGTCAACATGTACCTACGCCCCGAGGTGTTACCTGTTATATTTTGATTTATCAATTTTATGTACTCCCTCCGTTTCAAAAAGACTGTCTTAATTTGACTTGACACGGAGTTTAAGAAAATAAAAAAGATTTTTGAATCTTATGAACCTAAACTAAAGTTATGTCAAATGTATAAAATTATCCTTTAATCTTGTGGCCTTAAACATGTCACGTGGAAAACTGAAATTAAAATGTTACCAAAAGGAAAGAGGTTATTTTTTTTAAACAAACTAAAAAAAAAAAAAGGTTATTCTTTTTTAAACGGATGGAGCATTTATTTATCATTTACATGTTGTATTTTGATTCATCAATTAATTTGCATTAGAAAAGTTGATTCAACTTTTTGTATATCACTAAAAAGACTCGAAATTGTTATTTACTCCATGTCCCTAATTACTTGTCCAATTTTTCTTTTTTACTTGTTCCTTTTTACCGATTCATTTTGACAAATCAAGAAAGAACAAATTTTTTTTTTACCTATTATACCCTCAATTAATTAATTTTTAAAAAGATAAGAACTTTTTGAAAATCTTAAATTTTTAATTTATTCACTTCATAATTAATAGGGGTAAAATACTCATTGTGTCAATCATTGTGTGTCAATTCAAAAGTGGACAAATAATTAGAGACAAAGAGAGTACTATTTTTCTTTAAATAATTATCATTTAATTATTACTCTCTCCATCCCATTATAGTTTATCACTTTTCATTTTGCACGGTGCTTAAGAAATCATAAATAAAAAAATAATTTTACTAATTCACTCCTTAAAAAACTTATTGAAAATTTTACAAATATATGTGAACACTTTTAAAAGAATTAATTGCACTGATAATATAGAAAAAAAATTACTCCAATATAAAGCTAACTTAGTGCTACTTCCACGAATATCTGGATAGCAAAAGCACGAAGCACACTCAAACAGTTGTCTGCCACAAAGTCCAAAAGGTTACACCTACCGAGGAGCGTTCACACGTCAATTTGGTCGGTTATTAATCAAAATTAAAATCAAATCAATTTAATCAGTATTAAAAATTTTAAAATTAAACCAAATGAAAAAATAATACTCTCTCCATCCCATTTTATATGTCATATTTTTACTTTGCACTTGCATAAAAAAATGATGTAATTTTACCCTTCTATCCTTATTTAATTTTTTTGGAACTCAAGTTTTCAATCAATGAATATGAATTAATTTATTTTGATTAATTAATTTAACCAATGAACATAAATCATTTACTTAGCTTTTCTAAGTAAGTCAAATATATGTTTTCAAGGCTAATAACTCACAAGGGTAAAAAAGAAACAATATGGTAATTTATGCATTGATTTTATGAAATGACAAGTATTATGAATCAACTATTTATAGAAAGGGGTGACATATAGAATGGGACGGAGGGAGTATACATTTATCGGTTTTAGTTCAGTTTGGTTCGGTTATTAACCATAAACAAAAATAAAAGAAACAATTCATTTAAAACGTGAAAAAAAGTGGCAACTGACAACAATCCATTCAAAATGAAAAATAGTTAGAGTAGCTGTCATTAGTTATTATAGAACTTTCGATCACTAAATTTACTATGAATAGAGCTTCAAAATTCACAACTTTGACCTAGAAGGAAGAGACAATGACATTTTCAGCCCCACAAAAAATGTTATAGACACTCGTATACATGAAGTGATGAAACCATGTCACGACCCAACCCACTGGGCCGTGCGGGCACCCACTCTAACACCTAAGTAGGAAAACCCTCATATCCCAATAGTCAACCATGCGGAAAAATTTCAAGAAAACAAATGTAATTGCAATAACACGATTTTATAATTAATACCCTTTTTAAATAAATTCTAGTTAAGACTTGTAAAGTAATTAATAACCCCAAGGACCTAGTCTAAACAGGTACAAGAGCTACTAAGAGTACAACTAGACAAGATAAATAAAAGACACAGCTCCCACCGTGCGAAAGGAAAAAAAGAAGTTGGAGATTTTCTTCGTCTTCACCTAAGGAAATGTCACCAATCCTGCATCTAGACTATGTCAAAAGACATAGCAAGAGTAGTATCAGTACAAAACACACGTACTGGTAGGCATCATTGGTCAACCTGACGCCCACCACATAACATAAGAAACCAACTAGTAAGATCATGAAATAAATCACTCGTTTCTCCACCTTCGCCCCTTTCATTGAAATACCTCCAATCACACTAGCATTCTAACTACTAACCCCTTTTTAATCAACTCACTTACCGGATTCTTGATTATAACTTAACCATTCTAACACGTAAGAATTTTCCCAAGTACAAACACTACCAAATCAACTAACCGTACACGTCCTACCTTACTTCCTCATCACATTACCAACCATAGTCACATAATACAATACTTCAAACTTTCTTAAAACTAACCTAATCTCATTTCCCCCCAAGGTGAAATCCATCCAACAATTTCCTTCACACACACTATCTCTACTCTCGCCATTACAATCTATGAACAACAAACTATAAATCGTCATAGCACGGGTCCACTAAGTATAACATAACAAACCAATACAATACTTTACTCACAAACGTATATCAAGCATATACAATTTTGTCAACAAGTACACGAACAACGAATAACTCACATCATTGGTCCTCTCACGTAACCCAAACTCAAACGGTTAGCATGCCGGAACATGGCAATCGCTCCCAAGTTAGTGTGCTGGAACATGGTAGTCGATCCCATGTTTATGCCGGAACATGGCAACTCGATCCCATATTATGCTGGAATGTGGCAATCTGATTCAAGTTAGTTATGCTGGAACGTGGCAATCTGATCTCATTCACACATCACAATCACAAACACAGTATATCATCAAGATCATACATTTAAGTCATGAATTCATGGCAATGATATTCATCTATCTCATTTACAACAAGTATGACCAACCTTGCAACATTCATACATGTACCATCATAATGAAGCAAGAACAAGCATATATCACACAAACATAAAATCACAACCATCACCTACGAATTACTCTTCAGTCCCCATCACATATATAATAATTGACCATACTCAGCCCTAGTTCATCATAAAGATTTCTTATTAGGGTTTAATCACAATTCATCATAATTTCTCAATGTCATCACTTCAATTATCGGATGTAGCATACATTCATAAATCTAGTTCCACTCTTGATTTCATGCCCTCATTCTTGACCCAATCTTATCCATGATAGCAATTCTAGGTTTTTCTAACAACTCATCAATTTCTCCTCACAAGCCATAAACTCACATACTTTAAACTCTAAGGATTATTCATGTAATTCACCCGGTGCAGAAGGTCCACACATAATCCTACCATTGATTTACATATATCATGTAGTAAGCACAGATTTAAAACTACTTAATTGTAAAAACCTAGCCTACCTGGGCGCCAAACAGTTGTACGGAATTTTTTACTTTAAATTTGGTTTTTCGGGCTTTAGGACAGTAGATTTGTCCAAAAATCTGCAAGATTTCACCATCCCCACGCTAGAAATTTCCTTCTCCTTCCTTCCCAAACTTAGAGCAGCTTTTCTAAGGTTTCTAGGGTGTTTTACGACTTATTTAGGTAATTTAGGAAGATAGAGAAAATAAGATTCCTCGCAATTCACATTCTGCCTCGCTTATCCCGCTTTGGCGCCACCTTACCCCGCCCTGGCGGCGGTGCCCCAGTGGCACCTAGCCCATCTTGGCGGGACAATGGCCCAGATTTTTCTCAAATTCTTATTTTTCCCAGTAACGATGGTTCGGTCATTACAATAGATACCAATTTACCTTTCGTTCATCCCCGAACGACTAGTCTATGGATATCACAAACTCTAGATTCGGGACACCCCCAACTATCGAATTGATCAAACACGGAAACTACGATGAATCGTAATCTTTCATTTAAATTAACACATGAAAAAGCATTATACTCTAAGACTAGGGGAAACTCTGATGCAATACGTGAAGATCAAACACGTTCAACCCTACACAGCCTAGCCCGCCGGGGCAGCAACCCTCCCGTTGTGGTGGGGCCGTTGTGGCGAGATATCTCCCGCTATAGCGGGAGATCGAAAACAGTAAAGAGGGAAATAGGGAATGGTTTCCTCATTTCCTCTTTTTTTAACTCAAAACTCCTAAAAAATTCTCTCAACCCAATCGCTCGGAACGTCAATCCAAGGTAAACTTCTCGTTTCCCACTCTCATTACTTCATGACTTGATTAAACAACTATTGCATGATGTTATTTGATTGCTTAGATACGGTTTTTGGGGTAATTATTTGAAATTGAACTAGGTTGCTAGATTGCTATCATGTACGAAGCATGGTTACTTCATTACGTCCCTAATATTTACACAACGTCCTGGGTGCAAGGATTTCTTAAAAACATAGTTGAATCGGTACAAAAATGGGTAGGGGAAGTTGAAAGGTCTTCTTGACATAAACTTGAAATTAGGCACTGTTTTGAGGTTATTTTGTTGAAATGATTGCTTATTTATGTTCTAGGATAGTTAATATACTCTGATCTGCTGGAATTCTATCGAAAACGGGGATTTTAGGGTGAAAAGACGCCATTGTGGCGCCTGGTGTTTGTCCCAGATGAAGGCCGTTGTGGCGGCCTTCATCCCGTTGTGGCGACCTTCATCA